TAGACTCCGAGCATTACTGCTGGTGGGCAAGCGTCTGGACCAGGCGGGACAGGTCTGCGGAGCGGTCAGGCTCTCAGGGCTGTCTGCAGACAAGGGACTCCCCGTCCCTGAGCCAGCCTCAGCGCTGCCATCAGTAAAATAGAGGAGGAGCCCCAAGCTGGAGGGGAACTAAGGGGAGCAAACAAATGCCCCAGTCCCGGCACCACCAGGAGCTGGTCAGCCAGTCGGTCACCGGGATCGAGTTTCCCGCACACTGTCATCTGGTATCAGGGCCTTACCTGTTTCTTCCCAGGTTCTTAAGTGCCTTCAATGAAGTTGCTTGGCAAGTGATTTCTGGAAAATGACTGTTTCTGTTCCTTTAAGCAGGCCCAGGAGATATTTAAAGGAAAATTAGATTTGCTTAACAATACAACAGCCTGTGGGGGCAATGTTGTGAGGCCACAGCTGAGGTTCTTCCTAGCTCTGGGCCTCAGTTTTCTTACCAGCGAAATGGGGATAAAAGCAACTTTTATAGAAAGCACTTAAAGCAGTGCCTGCTGCATAGTTGGCCCTCAGTTAATGCCACCTCTGCAGGAATTTTATAAGATATTTTCTATTTTTTTACATAATACTGTGTGTCTGGGGAAAAAAAATCAAAATATATTTTAATAATTTTTTTACATAGCATTTAAAGTTGTGTGTTTGGTTTTTTTTAAGTATATTTTAATTGGTTTTAGAGAGAGAGGAAGGGAGAGGGAGAGAGAAATAAAAACATCGATGAGAGAGAAACATCAACATCGATGGGCTGCCTCCTGCACACCCTGTGCTGGGGAACGAGCCCAAAACCTGGGCATGTGCCCTGACCAGGAATGGAACCAGCAACCTCTCGGTGCATGGGCTGATGCTCAACCGCTGAGCAAAACCAGCCGGGTGAAATGAAAATATTTTAAAGGACAAAAGGCACGTGATGAGACACTTGAGAACATGCCTTGATTGGCAGAAGAGCCTCCCTGGGCTCCAGGATTCATTACCCTGACGGTGACCAGGTAACTGTCTGTAATATTTCTATTCTGCTGTCTTGGCCCATTTCACTGACACCTGTCCAGGCTCACATTTTGGCTCTACATCCCTGAAAGCAAACTCCCCGTAAATGGGGCAGCATGCTACCCGCCTTACAGCCTCCCTGAAGTCTCCCCGTCCTGTTCCTGGGTCTGATAAGAGCCAGCTGTGGACAAAACGGCCCCATTCTGCTTTAAGGGCATCTCAGGGGAGGGAGGGATGCTCATCCTTGAAGGAGTGGCTTCCCCCACAGCAGTCAGGGACTCCCTGCCTAAGGCTGACTCATTCCTACAGGCCAGCATATGGCCACTCCACCACTGTGCGTCCAAACACCTTGCCCAATGCATGTTCCTCACCGAAAATGAGCCCAACAGCTCAGCATATTCCCTCTGAGGGGGCAGAGGACACCAAGGGAGCGCAAGAAAATCTAATCAGATTTGTGCTGCTGTCTTTTAAAAAAAAACAGCCTCCAGAGCCAGCAAAGTTCATGCCCCTAAGCCACCTTCAAGGGGTGTCCACGCAGAGTGGCTCAGCTGACAGCAGATCCCAGGGTCTGGGAACACTTGGTGCATAGGGGCCTGTATCTTAAGTCTACCCATATTGCGTCACACTGGAGAACAAGAATAATCCCAAACCATCAAGATGGTTAACACGTGGATGTTCTAATGAAGAGGCAGGAAGGTCTGCAGCCTGCCACCAATGCCTTTCGCTCTTCAAATAAAAGCCAGACTCCTGACAACAGCCCATGTGATCCAGGGCCTGCCCAACCTCTGAACCCCACATCTTATCATCCTCTCCTCCCTCATCCTGTTCCAACCACACCGTGCTCCTGGCTCTCCCCACCCCCACCCCCCACCCTCCATCAGCACAATGGGCCTTGGCCCTTCTGCACCCGCGTCTCTGCTCTCTCTGGCCATCCTCTACCCAGCTCTTCCCTGGGCCACACCGCCCTCTGCTGACCTGAGAGCATCGTACCTGTTTGTTTACTTGTGTATTATCAGTCTTGCCCGCTAGGATGCCACCCTCTTGATGGGCAGACACAGTGTTGTATGCCTACCCAATCCTAAAGCCCCAGCATCCAGCACATAGCCTGGCCCACAGCAGGCACCAAATACATTTTTCTTTGAGTGAACAAATAAATGAATTTTTAAGAGTGTTCCAACAGAAACAGTCAAAATCAAATAAAGGGTAATACCTCCTATCAAACCCACGATCATCTTGGCTAACTTCCATTTCGCCTCCTGACACTGGCCGGCCTGGGTTCCTAGTGAATGATTTTGTGGATTACTTTGGAATTCACTCTTTTCTTTGACTTGCAAGATGATAAGCAAAATTTAACAGGGAGGGGTATTGCAGATTCCGGTGTTGTATGAAATCATAAACCGCACGGTCTGTGCATTCTGTGGCTGTGTGTAATATTCAGCATGATGTCTTTTACATATTCTCCCCGACACACTCACACACTTTTGTCAAGCGGCTCGGTGGGGCTTCCAAAGGGCTTTTGCCTTATTTAATCATAACTTAACTCGCTAAAGTAGAGCTGAGATATTAACTGCTGCTCATCTCCGTCCACCTGTGGTTCTCAGGCAGGCAGGGGGCTGTGCTCTAAAGGGAACTGCTAATCACTGAAATAACTCCCTTCGCAGTGGGCGAGGGGAAGGCAGAAAGGCTGGGAGGGAGGGCTCACACCTGCCCAAACAGTCACCCCTTATCATTTCTCATTTAGCTTCAAAGAAAAGGGGGGCGGGGCGCACTACCCAGCACAGTGATGATAGGAGATCCATTTACTGGTAACATGGGGAAATGCTTCTGATCACGGAGAGCATTATTTTGAAAACCAATTTGCACAACGGTTTGATTTACTCCAGGAAAAAAAAAAAAGAAAAAGAACAGCAGCATTTGAAATAACCATGGAACCTTATTCTGGTGCTGGTTTCATTAAGAAAAGCACGAAAGCAAGATTCTCTTCTCATGTACCTGAAAAAGCTGAAGCCCATGCATTATTCCCAGGGCCGACACAGCACAGAACAGGACTTTTAAACTACACGATCACCGGTGGGTATCGTGACAATCAACAAAACGATAGCCATCCAGTCCGCTCCTCCTCGTACCCACTGACCGTATCAAAGGTTCAGCGAGAGCTACACGTTTGCAGCCCGTTTTTAACTCCCACCTGTCGTGTTGTCCAAAGAACCGGGCATCCACCTGCCCATCTTTATCCCTCAGAGCTTTGGCCGGCCAGAACGGGAAGCCCTTCAGTTTTGCCCAGACCAAAGGATGTGGATTGCTCTAGGAAAAGAAAAACAAAATCCAGAGTCTGAATGTATTGGACAGCAAGAGGCATACATCAAGCGCGGTGTGTGGGGGTAAAGCGAAGCAGAGGGGACAGAGGCCACAAACTGAAAGAGAATCGTTTCAGACCGTCTCCCAGGGGGTGCCCCTGGGCGGCATGTGGCCAGGAGGCCTGGGCGAAGATGGGAACGGGGGTAACTTGTGAAACCAAGAACGGAGCACTGACAAAACTGGGCTTGAAAACTGGCTGTGCCGTGACTACCTGGGTGGCCCTGAGCAAGATCCCACCTTTCTGTGCAACTCAGAGACTGCAGCACTTACAGCCTCTGTTAAGGTGAAGGATTAAACGTGGGTTGTATCCAGCATGTAATGAGGGGCGGTATTAGCCTCTTTTCTTCTTTATGGAGGGCTACTCAAACCCTTAACGATTCAGGTGTTAATCTCCAAGGGCAGGGAGAGACATAAACTGTTTTCACTGTTCACTACTTGCCCA